TCTCTCCTCATCCAGAGTACAGAAAAATGAAGAAAACCAAAGATTCATGGGAACAATTAGTCCAAGCAACTGGTACAACATTCAATCCTCATGTGACTATGAGACCAGAAGAACTAGATGGTAGATGGTGCCCACCTACCCTTGGCAACTACTCAGAGGGGGATTTATGTAGGAGATCCTGGATAGAGTGGGAGAACAATGTGGAACAAAACTCAAAAAATAATTTGGGGGAAAAAAAAAAGAGGGACTAGGTTTGCTGGTCTGATAGAGCCTGGTGGAAACACTGAGACTATCGCCCGTAGCTGCCCTTCAGGTCTGGGATTAAACCCATATCTGTGGCTTCAAGACAAAAAAAAAAGCCAGGCATATGAGGTGAACATTTATACTAGGTAGATACACTCCTTGGAGAGAACAATCATGGGAGAATAGAAAGGCTGTGTACACACAGGGACATAGCTCAGGGGGCAGGAGTGAATGGAGGAAAGGACATAGGGAAGAGGTAACTATGGGGAAGAAGTGGGAGGGGAGCTGTTGCATTGTGATAAATTGTAGTCAATGTCATGAGACAAAGTGTATATATGAACTGCCTTTGGAAAGTGAATTTGCTCTGTAAACTTTCACCCAAATCACAATAAAAAATAAATAAAAAATAACAATTGACTGTCTTCTCAAACTGCTCTTTGAAATCTTCTGGTCAGCCCTTTTATCCTGTCGATTCTTCCATTTACTTTAGCTACTCTGTTGTAGGACGAGTTTCAGAGTCTCCTCTGACATTCACTTTGGTCTTTTCTTCCTTTCCTGTCTTTATAGTTATCTTTTGCTTTCTTCATGGATGATGTTCTTGATGCATCCCATAGTTCTTCTGGTTTTTGCTCACTCATATTCAATGCATCAAATCTATTCTTTGGATGGTCTCTAAATTCAGAAGGGATAAAATCAAGGTCATATTTTGGCTCTCATGGAGTTGTTTTAATTGTCTTCAATTTCAACTTGAACTTGAATATGAGCAGTTGATGTCTGTTCCACAGTCAGCTCCTGGCCTTGTTTTGGCTGAAGATATTGAGCTTCTCCATTGCCTCCTGCCACAGATGCAGTCAATCTGATTCTTGTGTACTCCACCTCGTGAAGTCCCCATGTATAGCCACCGTTTGTGTTGTTGGAAAAAGGCATTTGCAATGCATAAGTCATTGGTCTTGCAAAATTCAATCATGCAATCTCCAGCATAATTTCAATCATCAAGACCATATTTTCCAACTACCAGTGATTCTTCTTTGTTTCCAACTTTTGCATTCCAACCGTCAGTGATAATTAACACATCTTGATTGAATGTTCAGTCAATTTCAGACTGCAGAAGTTGGTAAAAATCTTCAATTTCCTCATCTTTGGCTTTGGTGGTTGGTGTATACACCTCACAGGCATATGGATATTATCCTGTCACTGCAGCCTTGTATTTCAGGATAGATCTTGAAACATTCTTTGTGACGATGAATGCCTTGCCATTCCTCTTCAATTTCTCATTCCCAGCACAGTAGATCATATGGTTGTCTGATTCAAAATGGCCCAAACAGGTCCATTTCAGTTCATTAATGCCTAGGATACCAACCTTTACGTGTTCCATTTCATTTTTGACAACTTCTAATTTTCCTAGATTCATACTTTGTACATTCCATGTTCTGATTATTAATGGATATTTGCAGCTGTTTCTTGTTATCTTGAGTTGTGCCACATCAGCAAAAGGAGGTCCTGAAAGCTTTATTCCATCCACATCATTAAGGTCAGCTCTATTCTAAGGAGGCAGCTCTTTCCTAGTCATATTTTTAGTGCCTTCCGACCTGAGGGGCTCATCTTCTGGCACTATAGCAGACAACGTTTCAGGGCTCTTTTTCAGTAATACATCAGACAGTGTTTCACCGCTATTCATAAAGTTTTCACTGGCCAATTCTTTCATAAGTGGAAGGCCTTGTCCTTCTTCCAAGTGTCTTAGGTTGCAAGCCCCACTGTCCACCATGGCTAACCCTGTTGGCACTTGATATCTTGGTGTCACAGCCTCCAGCTTCACAGCAACACACAGTCACCAAAGGACAACAAACTGACAGATGCGTTTGTCTCTCTTAGGTGTTCCAAACTGCTCCACTCCTGCTTCCTGGCTTTCCCTACCAGTTCCAGCCCTCCAAAAGCCATCTGCTGCCACTTCCTGGCCTTCCCTACCAGTTCCAGCCCTCGGAAAAACCATCTCATTATTATCTAGGAAGCTGTATTGCTCTAAACCAGCATCTAATATGTTGTGCTGTTTCTCCAACAGCCAGGATTCACGGGTCCAGGAACAAAGAGGTAGAAACTATTACCTCTAGTAATCCACTCACAAAATGTTTACTCTCTGTCCCTGTGACTTTATGATCTGAGGATCTGCTTCCGTCTTAGTTCCAAAGGGAAGAATGCTCTAACCTACAGATGCAATATTGATTCCACTGAAGTGGAAGTTAAGAATGCCCCCCGCCACTTATGCCTCTGGATCAATAAGCAAAGAAAGGAGTTACTGTGCTGGCTAGTGTGACTGATCCTCATTACCAAGGGAAGTCATACTGATATTACATAATGGAGGTAAAGAAGAACATGCCTGGAATCAAGAGATCTCTTAGGATGTCTCTTGGTACTATCATGCACTGTGATTAAAGTCAATGGAAAACTACAGCAATTCAATCCTGTCATGACTAACAATGGCCCAGACCCTTCAGAAATGAAGGTTTGGGTCACCCCACCACGCAAAGAACCACAACCAGCAGGGGGCAAAGGGAATATGGAATAGGTGGAAGAAGAAAGTAGTTCTAAAAACCATCTATAACAATGTGACCACTTACAGAATGAGGACTATGATTGTTATGACAATTTCTTCCTTGTATAGTGCATCAAATATTTTTGGTTTTTTCACTCATAAGATGTAAATTGGGCTAATGCATTTTTGCTTGTACATGTGTTAGCTGTATGTTAGGCACAAGTATGACTTTATAATTGTCTATTTAGAGATATGTAAGGTTTAAGGAGATGTGTACAAGAGCCAAGTTGACAAAGTGTGGAATGTGATGGATAAGGTTGTGTGGCAACTTGATTTAGCCACGCTTTTCATGATTTGGCAGTGATGTAGTTTTTCAGTTATGTAACAATGTAGTCAGCCCCCATGATGAAATCTGATATAATGAAATCACCTCTATGACAGACCTGTTACAAACAGCCAATCAGTGGAAAGGAAGTTTCCTCTGGAGTATGGTCTGCATCCAACATATGTGGACATTCACAAAGCTCTGTGGCTTTCTGCTCGATCTAGATCCTGCATCTAGTTTGTGATCATCTGACCTCCAGTTCTTTGGGCTTGAGGTAGTGGCCTACAATACTGCCTGCCAATCCTGGATGTGTCAGCCTCTGAAGCGAGCAGCCTGCCATTTGACCTGCCAATCTTGGGTTTGTCAGAGCCTGCAGCCATGTGAGTCAGAGAAGCCTCTAGCTTGACATTTACCTACTGATTGGGACTTGCCAGGCTCTACAATTGCGTGAGTAATTTTCTCTCAACAAACATGTTTCTCTCTCTCTCTAACTTTCACTGGTTTTGTTTCTCTCTCTCTCTAACTTTCACTGGTTTTGCTTCTCTAGAGAACTTAGCATAAGATAGTTGAGTTAACCATTAGTTTTATCATCTATAAAGGAGGTAACCAAAGGAGCCACTAGCCAGTGGGCAAATATCTATATAAAACCTCAAAACACAATGGACAAATTCAGTATAAATAAAACTGAAATGGTGGCTAGGCATCAATGGTACAAAAGGAAACAGCAGACGTTAAGTTCCATGCTCCAGCAAATTTTGAATGAAAGCTAACCAAACTGATAAAATTATCTTTACAGTAAAGAGCCCTGGTTGCATAGTGGTTATGTGTTTGGCTGCTAACTAAAAGGTTGCCAGTTCAACCCCACTAGCCACTCCATGGGAGAAAGATGTGCCAATCTGCTTCCATAAAGATGACAGCCTTGGGAACCCCATGGGGTAGTTCCACTCTGTCCTTTCGGGTCACTATGCATTGGAATCAACTCTACAGCAATGGGAGTGTTTTAGGCTTAAGATTATTTAACCCCTCAATTTTTTTTAGTTCATGCAGCAACATTTTTTAAATGTCTAAAAGCCATTAAAATAGAAGTCCTTCTAATGTCTCATAGCACCATAAAAAATACAAAATTAGCTTCATAAACCATAACTTGTCTTTACCTACAGTAGAATGAAGGTGAATATACCACATAGTAATTACATAATGGAGGTAAAGAAGAACATGCCTGGAATCAAGAGATCTCTTAGGATGTCTCTTGGTACTATCTTTAGTCACATAAATGCAAACAGTACATGGAATATATAGCTAAGATTCTTTCTTTGTGAATAGGATCCAAGATAAAAACTCTTCTAAAAACATATCCATTATTGCAATGCAGCTTTTGTGAAGTTCTATTTTGTATAAAATTCTTCTTTATTTTTTCTTGGTAGCTAGTCCTACCCTATTAAAAAGGTCCATTCTTGTGAGAAACAGGAAGTAGAAAAACCATTTCAAATCATCAGGTAAAAAATCCCCATGGAAAAAAATTTGCTTCTTCTCTTTGTATCATTCACAGCTATAATGTGTGTAGGAGATTTCAAATCATGCACACAGTTTGGTACAATCTATACAGGAGATGATCTACAACGTAAGGTAAACTTTCAAAGAAAACCAATGGAAAAACCATCTTTTCACATGTGATCCTGCAAAGGGTAGATAAAGACTGAACTTCTTCTGAAGGCCTTTTTAACCTATGACACTAAGATGAGGAAATTCTCCTGAAATCATTTCTTTTTTAATTTTTTTGCTACACACAGGAAGTATAATTTTATGCAGTGGACAGAACATTTTAAACATTTTACACTTATAATCTTCAAAAGACAGTTATGCAAAAGAAAAATCAAAATAGCTTAGAAATAAAATACTTACTTTGACCACATAATTGAACCTTCGGATATCTTGAATTGCACTTGAGAAGTCTAAGCGATTAAAAGCTTCTCCCAAAGTACAATAGCCATGCCTCTGTAAAAAGAAATACAGAAGATTACTATGAGTCAAAATCACTCAAAGTTGAAGGAGCCCTGGTGGCAGAGTAGTTAAGTGGGGTTCTACTCTGTCTTATAGGATCACTATGAGTAGGAACCAACTCAAGGGCAATGAGTGGGATTTTAATTAATAGTGTCAGTTGGTCTGAGTAATTATTATTATTTATAATTTGAAAAAGATGTTTGTTCTTATTGTGAACGTTTATTTCAGATTTAGATGAGATTACAGTAAAATAACAACGGTGTGAAATTTAAACCATTTATGTATAATTAAGACATTATGGATTAATTTGCCATTTTTACACTACTGCCTATGCAATGACACCGAAAACATTTATTACTTATCTTGCTAGTTTCTTTTGTGGGGGACAAGTTCTGGAGCAGGTATAAAAATTAAGCTTAAGATCATGTAAAAACTAGATGTATTTTAGGCTATGCAGCTAAAATATACACATTGTTTATTATGAAGATGCATCTGTTATAAATTTATTTGTTGAAATATATTAACTTATCTACATTGAAGTTATTTATTGTTTCAATGTTGAAAATATAAATGAATAAAAAGGATCAAGAAGTTGAAAGGAACCTGGGTACTAAGAAATAGAATCTCTTACGCACCAAGTAACTAACTTTCAGATGAAGAAATCGGAAAGAAATGGGGAAGTTCTGATCTATTGATAAATTCCAGGTTGGAGAACATGGACTCAACAACCCATACAAGCTGATAATTAGACCCACAGGTCCAAAAGTCAATTAAAACAAGTAAATTTCAGTATCTTTCCTTTAGTACCTCAAACACTACTATTCTATTTTAGGTATTTTTTCCTAAATGAGATACCCTATATTCTACATTAGTTTGCACAGATTTGCATTTTAGCTGACAGGAGTCTTCTTAAATCCCATAATCTGTATTTGAAATGAAGATTTCATTTCAGAGTTGTAGGAATAGAGAAACTAGAAAATAATAACAGAAAACCTTAAGTGATATTTCAAATTTCAGAGAGCATGAGATGGTCTAGTAAGTAGTTGGAGTAGTAATACCTTAATCTCAGATGCACTATAAAGGTAATTTAGTTTTGTGTCCAAATCCTAAGAATAGTCCTAATGTGTTGACAAATCAATGAAAATATGTTCATTTAAAAAATTCAATATGTAGTCCGACTTGACGGCACACAACAACAACAATTTTTCTGAAAGTCCATTTTGTGCAAAACTTTTTCCTAGAAACAAAGATACATATGCAGATTGTGATCTACTATCAATCACCACTGATATTTTTACTTTCTTTGTCTCTTATACCTACAGAGTTCTAAATAATGTTAAACAGATATATTTTCAATGTATTTTCCCATCTCACAGTGGCTTCTTTCTTTGGGAATTAAATATGATTCAGAGTAGACTACAAATAGCATGCTTTAGACACATGATCTTGTCCATCTTTATGTTGTTGGTATCAGGTGCTGTCGAGTTGGCTCCAACTCACAGCGACCCTATGTACAACAGAACAAACGGAACAGAACACTGCCCGGTCTTGTTCCACCCTCACAATGCTTGTTATACCTGAGCCCATTGTTGCAGCACTATGTCAATCCATCTCATTGAGGGTCTCCCCCTTTTCTTATGACCCTCCACTTTAATAAGTATCATGTCTTTCTCCAGGGACTAGTCCCTTCTGACATGACCAAAGTAGGTGAGATGAAGTCTGGCCATTCTTGCTTCCAAGGAGCATTCTGGCTCCACTTCTTCCAAGACAGATTTGTTAGTTCTTCTGGCAGTCCATGGTACTTTCAGCATTCTTTGCCAACATCACAACTCAAAAGCATCAACTCTTCTTTGGTCTTCCTTATTCATTGGCCAGCTTTCACACGCATATGAGGCGACTGAAAATACCATGGCTTGGGTTACGTGCACATTAGTCTTTGAAGAGACATCTTTGTTCTTTAGTACTTTAAAGAGATATTTGGCAGCAGAATTTCCCAGTGCAATACATCATTGATTTCTTGACTACTGCTTCTATCGGTGTTGACTGTGGATCCAAGTGATATGAATCTTTGACAATTCCAATCTTTTCTCCATTTATTGTGATACTGCTTATTGGTGCAGTTGTGAGGATTTTTGTTTTCTTCATGTTGAGGTGTAATCCATACTGCAGATTGTAGTGTTTAATCTTCAACAGTAAGTGCTTTAATTCATCTTCACTTTCAGCAAGCAAAGTTGTGTCATCTGCATATCTCAGGTTGTTAATGAGTCTTCCTCCAATCCTGATTTAATCTACCTTTATAGGGGGACTGAATCTATAACATGTAACCTCAGAAGCTGGAGGGCAAATATATTCTGTCATTTGGATAAGCAGCAGAAATATCTGATCTGCAGCAAATCAGAAGAATAAATATACACAATGAGATACAGAGAAGAGAACTGGAGAAGGGTGTGCCATCCTTCCAGTTCCTAGTTCTGGTCTTTTCCTGAGGTCTGGCTATATCCTTGTTCCTAGAATCCATGTAGCAGCCCTGCTGCCTCAAATTTGTTCTCATGGCAGTTCATGGTATTTTCAATATTCTTTTCCAATACCACAGTTCAAATGCATCAGTTCTTCTGTGGTCTTCCTTAATCACATGCATATGCTGAGGCTATTGAAAAGACCATGGCTTGCATCAGGCTCACCTTAGTCTTCAAAGTGACATCTTTGCTCTTTAACACTTTAAAGAAGTCTTTTGCAGCAGATTTGCCCAGTGCAATACCTTGTCTGATACCTTGACTGCTGCTTCCATGGGTGCTGTGGATCCAAGTAAAATGAAATTCCTGAAAATTTCAGTCACACACATGTATGTGCATACAATTGAGAATCACAGTTTCAAACGATCCTCATATATTAATTAGAGCATATGCTTTCATATATTAGAATGTGAATCATAGAATTGACATTGCAAAATAATTAATTTATTTTATATGAAATTACATATTCATTGGAAACAAATAAAAATATACTCTTAGAATACTTACTTCTCTTGTGCTTTCTTTATGGACATAGATCCATTTTTCACGATAAAAACCTAGAATAAAAATTAACTTTATTTTAAAAGTTTGGGGAATCATTTCAAAATGAAGATTTAAAAGATATTCAATAATTGCATATGCTAATAAAATCTGACTTACTGTATAAGCAAGAGTTACTTTTACTTAGTTAAATATAAACAGAATTGCTTTGTGTCTTAATATTGGTTTAAAAGGAAATGAAATCTTTACATGAAAAAATACTTGAAGATAATATGAAGCATTAATAAGATAGAAGAAAATTAGTGTATTAATGACTATAATAATATCAAAACATTAATATTATACAAATGCAATTAATCTATTAAAAGCTCTTAAGAACTCTAATAAAACATCTGTCTTCCTTTATTGACCTAATATTGTATTCCATACATGTAAATTTTTAATATAACTCAAATTTAAACTTCAAGAAACACATTACCATTGTCTCCATATAACCTTGTCTTCTTTAACAACCTGTTGCTGTCGAGTCAATTCCAACTCAAAGTGATCCCATAAGACAGAGTAGAACTGCCCATAGGGTTTCCAAGACTGAAATGTTTACGGAAGTAGATTGCCACATCTTTCTCCCTTGGAATAGCTGGTGGTATGAATTGCCAACTTTTGGTTAGCAGCCAAGCACTCAACCACTGGGCACTAAAGCTCCTATCTTCTTCAATAAAGTATACTAACTGCATTAAAAGAAATTTCTTAATGATTCATTAACCTCATTCATTATGTTAATTAAAAGAAATTTCTTAATGATTCATCAACATTCATTATGTTGTTAAGAAATGTATCATTATGATTGGGCCATAATGCAGTACCCTAATATAGGTTCTCAAATCCTTTCACATAGGCTACTGCAACAGCTTCCAATCAGTTTTCTTGCCTCCACATGTTCTTAAAATCCTGCTCTGATCATGTGTATCTATCTCTTGTTCAGAATCTTCAATGAATCCTGGATTAAAGTCCAATGTCAAAACACCTTACAATTTGGTGTTATTGCTTAGCAGTAAAACACAAGCTTTGATGAACTGAATTCATGGTTGCTATTTAATCATCAAATACGTTGTTATTTTGTGTTTTTTTATACCATTTGTTTTGCATATTTACTAAGTAAATCATTTTATTAAAATGATTGAGTGGTAAAAAGTCTGATCACTAAATCAGTAGTCAATACAAGACATAGTGCTGTATTATATGTCTGTATTATTTTTTATTTCTTAAGATAGCATGTTAAAATAACTTAATAAACTACCATATTCAATAGGTAAAATATAAAATTAGTAATGAAAATTATCTTACATTGAGTATTTGTGTCATTTCTAAAATGGTCCTTTTTCCTTTTTTTTGATGTATATTCACACTCTTCATTACTGAATATTTCTTCATCTTCACTATTTAAGATACTGAAATAAAGATACATTTCATGAAAATATTTTTCCAGAAATCTACATTTTTCTTCTCTTTTGTAAAAGCATATAATAAATACTTGGTTTACAATTCCGAAGAATAAAATAAAAATCATGTTAAACTCTGAGAGCTACTAGAAAATTTTCAGACACAGATAATGGGCTTAAAATTTAAATGCACACACACACACATTTCATTTTAAGAAACAGAGATTTATCCTGGTACCTTTGGAGAATGCTATACCAGGAAGGACTGAATATATCTTTAAATCTCCCTAGGTAGTTTCAGATACCAAAATAGTTTATTAGGACATGGAAAGTATAAACAGAAACCATAAAAACTGTAGAAAAAAGTTAGCTTAACAATAACACTACCAATACTAACTAATGAAGGGGAGAAGGAAGATGGTGTAGTACCTGTATCCCACGCATTTGTTCCCTCTAGCATCTTATTTCCTAAAGAACGAGGTGTAGCAGTTTGAAACAGGGACTTTGGAGCTATGAAAATCTGAGTAAGTCAGAGGGTGCCATATTTAGTGGATATGGAGAAAAAAAAAGCAACATAAACAGCCAGGAAAAAGAAAGGAATATGCTTGGCTGGTGGGGAGACAGAGAGGTGGAGAAGCAGGAAAGCTCATTGGCAGTACAGAGAAGAGCCATGGAGAAGGAAAAAAAAGAAAGAAAAGGGGCACCACGGAAACCATGGAGGCTTCAGGGACTCAGAATACCCACAATGGGAGCTTCCGAAGATAGTACTTTCAGGAGCTGAGCTGATTAAGTGGCTAGCATTGCTGAGAAACAGAGCAGAAATTCCTGTGACTCAGGGTGCCACTGAGTTGAGAGTAGAGAGCAGTAAGGGAGAAAACATGCCACAGGTAGGTAGGCCCTGGGATGAGCTTGCAGTACAAGTCTGGGATTCAGCCCTTCCATGACAGCTTTTTAGCACAGAGTGGACTGGGGTATGGGGTTTTTGTGGCTTACCAACCCAAGTGGAAAGCAGGGGCCCCCTAACCATTGGGATCTCTACTGATTTTAAACTCTGGGTCTGTGAGTGACAACAAAACATCATCACTGGGAGTTCCACTAAGATGGAGGAACAGGCTGACAGACTGCACAGACCCTCTTCAACAAAGAAAAGGGGAACCAGTTAGCATAGAAAAGAAGATAATCCTGGAGCCCTGTGCTTTGAAGGGAAGGATACAGAAGTAGACTAAGTAAACACCAACTAGTAGGTGAAGAACTTGCATGAAAACACAAAAAAGGAGACATATGGAGTTGCAGTCTATCAGTGATCCTGATGGCACAGACAGCTTGGATATTGCCAAGTGGCATTGTTGTTGTTGTTGTTGTTGTTTGCCGTCGAGTCGGCCCCGACTCATAGCGACCCCTCCTTGGC